CCCCGGGCTGCCGCCGCCTCGGCGCCTGTTGCGGGTCTCTGCCCGTCCCCCGGAGGGCTGCTCCTGGGGGGGGCCGGCTGCGTCGCCTGGCCTTGCCGGGCAGGGCAGGAGGCCCTGTTTCAGTCAGGGTACCCAGGGAGTGGCGTGGGGGTCTGGGGGCGATGCGAGCCCAGTCCCCCGTACGGCAGCTAACCTCCCTAGGGGTGGGGGATCCGCCTCTGTTTTCCTCGGGTAAAGGCCGCAAAACTTTTCTAGGCTTAGTGTGCTGTGCAGAGATGAAGTAAAGACTTGCCGATTTAATCGGGCCTCTCGCTGATAATTTTGTGGCCGCCTCTAAGTGGTCACAAATAATTAGGAGGGGGAAAAAAAAACCCCAACTTTTCACACCCCCATCTAAGGAAATGTTATGTTTCATGTCCCAAAATTAAATATTATTTGCATGGGAGTACTGTGAGATCAAAATTGTAAAGTGGGTGAGGAAACGTGCTTAAGGCTTCCCCCTGGGAGAGGAACACTTTCTGACATGAAGACCTTCCAATAAAATATGAAAGATGTACCTTTTACTGAAGATTTTATCAGGTAGTATTAATTTTGAAAAACAACTTCATTAATACTTAATGAGACTCTTACTTTCCCACTCACTGGCTGAAACCTTTCCTATTCAAATGGTTCTATGCTCAAGCATGTCCTGGAGGACTGAACAACTTCTTGGAATTTTTTTTTTCTTTGAACAAAATCTCTTTTGAACAGTCTTCTAGACTGCTTGCCATGAAGCAACACAACCGGGTTTTTGCCCGTAGCAGAACTTTGGCCTGAAACACTTTTCCTGAAGAGTTCCTGAAGAAAGGTGTTCTTCATTTGAATTGACTGCATTGTTGTCTAGTCTTAATGTACTTAATTTCTTCCAATTTTTCTGTTTTTCATGTGTTGTGATATTAAGTCAATATTTAAATATTGGTCAGCGTTTGGAGTTGGGATAGCTTAAGGATATGAAGGAAGTTTTTGTTTCTATCCCTCACCAAGACAGTGGTACGAGTGAATTCTTTTGCTGACAATTCCAGCACTTCACGTGAATCGCCTCATGTAGACTGTGGAGACTTTTTAGGACCCAGTATCTGGCAGTTACTGTTAGCTAAGTTGTCCTGTAGTTGATTCAGTCAGATCAACAACAGCTGGCATGAATTCACTGACACTGATTTGGTTTAATAGTATCACTGAAGCAGAACTAAAACAAGACTGTCAAAAGATGTAGGAATAGGAAAGCAAAATATCAAGTGAAATATATTAATTAAAAATTCAGAATGAGTTATCTAGATCATTAATAATGAAACATACAGACATTTGGTTCAAATAAAAAAATGAATTAATATAATTTAAAAGAAAATAATTTGTTGGTGTGATTAACGTCCTTTCTGTGTTTTTAGAGTTTTCACCTCTATGCGCGTGTCCATTCACTTTTCTTCTCTAATTCTCAGGGATATTTGTCCTCTGTAGTGCTGACCAGGAGCAGTTTGGTACCTGTTCACAATTTAAAGAACATTTAATACCTTTACAGATTTTTTCCTCTACTGCCTAATTTCTCCAACCGTTGACTTGTCGGTTTAGATTGCAGACGCTTGCAGGAAGCTGTATGACCCAGTCTTGTTTGAGACCTGCAGGTGTTACCACTGTGTTAGTAATTAATACCAACAGTAATAGTGAGCTTTTGCTTAACCACAGGAAGAAAACTTCCAAGCTGATTTTTGCGATTTGGGTTCTCCTCTGTCGGATCTTTAAGTATAAATCCTGCTTGCTTGTTTGTTTGCTATTCATTCATAAATAAGCACATATTACATCAGACTGTTACAACATTATCTTTTTAAGAATCGATTTCTGTTTTGCACTGAAATGAGATGTCCAAATCATGTATAAATTATTAATAGTATAATTATATAATTTTTCTTCTGTACGTGTTGTAAACATTTGTCCCCTTCTTAGTTTTTCACTTATTTTTCTTTGGTATCCAGGGACAATCAGACTAGACAAATACAAGATGCTGTTTCAAATGTGGAAAAACATTTTGGTGAATTGTGCCAAATATTTGCTGGATACGTACGTAAAACTGCCAGACTACGAGACAAAGCAGATCTTCTAGTAAATGAAATATATGCATATGCAGCCACAGAGACACCAAACTTAAAAGTTGGACTGAAAAACTTTGCAGATGAATTTTCCAGACTTCAGGATTATCGCCAGGCAGAGGTACAAAATCAAAGCTATACATGTTGTGTTTGCCATCTGAACTCTTCAGTTACTTATCTGTGATTAAAAGGGAAAAGATACACTCTGCAATCACGAGAGAAACATAGGAGAAAACACTTTTAAATATATTAGTGGCAGAGCAGGATTGGCTGCCAAAGCATTCATCATTTACTCTGCTAATGACGTAGTGAAAACTGCCTGTGATTAGTCCTGTTGAAGTCAGTGAAACCATCCATATGAGCCCTCACAGAATTTGAGACAGAGCAAGTCTTTTATTGGTCTTAGGCTTTGGATTATGATTTATGGTTAATAAAGTGTTCTTTTAGTTTTGTGACTTGAGTTGTCTAGCAGCAGCTGAGTTAAAATCAGTCATTTTCCTTTTGCTGAGTCTGTTATCAGAAGCAGTATGGAAGAGAATACTAACCGGAAACCTTCACTGGGCACTGGCAGCCCCTCTGAGGTACTATTGGGGACCACTGTAGATTTCATAAGTCTGTAGTTCAACACTAAAAGTACAAACTTGATCTGGACCACATATGACAATATAGTCACATTTCTGATAGATAAGTGAGAGTGTAAAGAAAGGTGTTTATGCCACTTACACATCTACGTGCGGGGCCAGTCAAACTGTAACTTATGATCCAGAATTCCAAATGCTGAGATTTAAGAAAAAATAAATTCGTTCACATGTACTCAAACTAGTTTTTGGAGTACATATCTGTTCTTTCAGTAAGGCATAGAAAATTCCCATCTATAGTTTTGAAAAGCTAAGAACCATTATAATTTAAAAAAGAGACTAAAGTAGTTGACATTCTTGATGTTTTCAGATAGGATTTTTTTTTTTTTTTTTAAAAGAAGCATTGCAATTCATCTTTCTATATTAACAAAGTAGAAAAGAAAACCTTTTAAAAGAAGTTATTCTATGAGGTATCTAGTCTACTAAGTAGAGGGTTTGAAAAACATGAAATATGCATGGATCTTTAACAATTTATTTAGGGCCGGATTTTTAAGAAGTAATAAGAAATCCAAGGGTGTAGATGGTGTGATTTTTATTTTTTTTCCATGAGCTTTTATGCATCTGGCTCCAACTAAGCCACACATAGGTCCTTATGCTTCAATTGATGTAATAGCAATTTATCCCTCTGTTAATGGCATAAATTTATATTATGGCCAAAGGTGTATGTGAGATCAGACTACATGATCTCTCTGTCTGTTTTCACCTTTGAACTATGAATCTGTAATTCTGAGGTATCTATGTAACAACTTGAGTTTTGCTTCTTTAAATTTTTAAGTGTGTTTTTAAAACCTGACATTTGGCCTACATCCTCCTACCACGCCTGTCCCCAAACCACCACTGCCCTTTGAAGGAGAAAAGGCAGAAGAAGCAAAGGAAAAGAGAAGCTTTTAGCCTTTAAATCAAGTCCTCCTTTGCTCATGAAAACCAAATAGATAATCTCAGCTTTATTTCTTTCGAGCATCAGGTTAATTAACAGTTTTCATATATATTGACAATGTGGGCAAGAGAAAATTAGCTTATAAGGGTTATCGATTTCTGGTCTTCAGCTGCAGGGCTAGATATATAAATGCTGAGGTGTGAGGTACTTCCACAACATGTAGAAGAGTAAGAAAGAAAGACAGGCAGGTTATTTGGTATATCTGTATCATGTGCTTCGTTTAGAGCCTTACTGCCCTATTCCATTCTATTCTGTTGATAGTTTAAGTGAAATTGTTTGACAGTGTACTGGTAGAGTGTAGTAAAGGCGAAATGTTTGCTCAGTTGGCATAGATTTTGGCTGACTGGTGACTGCCAGTTAAGAGGGGAGTGTAATGTCTGTCCCTTCCTAGTAGAGGTATGCACCTTGTCCTAATTTAGACATAACAGCGATGGGCCAGATGACTCACTGGTCCAAAGTCATCGGCAGCTTATGCTGGGGCCACTCGGGCAGTATTGTCAGTTTTGACAAGCAGACAGGTCTTATCCTATTGCCTGTCTGACCATATGTAGCTGTTTTTCTAACTAGCAGAATGGAAACAAAAATTCAGATGCACTCATCTGTGAGAGCATTCATGCGTTTTACACAACCTGTCGTTGGTATTTTTAATACTTTCAGTACCTACAATGCTGTTTCCATTATTTTTAAGAACGGAAGTGTTGCATTTCGTACAGTATGTTTGATAGCAAAGATGTCTTAGTCCGTAATCTATCAACAAGTGTAGAGCAAAGACATTGATCTTTAACTTTAGATAGAAAGCTACAGATCTCCAAGATGCAGTGTTTGATGTATTTAGTACTCAATTGTTAGAATCTCCGTGTTTTATTTATCGTGATGTATTGCCCATGAAGAAAAAGGAATTCCACTAGAAATCAGCTTGAGCTCCTCAAAATACAAATGATTTAGTGGTTAATTTAATAGAGACTGGTTTTTGCAATATTTTTAAAACCTCCATCCCACTATATTTTCAGCATATATGGGCTAAATCCCTAATGAGTCACTAGTAAATTAATTGTTTCCTGTTTCTGCACACCATAGATGTGGATGATTTTAGTGACCTTGTGATTTCTCTTGTAGGTTGACAGGCTTGAAGCCAAGGTTGTTGAACCTCTGAAAAGTTATGGGACCATAGTGAAACTTAAAAGGGTAGGTTAAACATCTCTTTTCTCACAAGGTACATTTTGGTGTTCTGGCCACTCAGTTGAAAACTTCTGCTATACAGGGGGGAGTGGTTCTGATTTTTCATATTGCAGTAATCGGTCTAACTAAATTACATAGTAATACATCTGAATTGAAGCTACATATATGTTGGAGGAATCCCTGAATCCCTCTCTGTCCTGCAAAGGCATCAGGATGACCTGAAGATACACAAAAAACTGAGGTCTCTTCATTCACTATATTCTGGAAACAGTGTATACAGGGGTTTCAAATATTCCCACAAAGTATCTGTAAATTTCTTTTCTTGAGGAGGGATAAGCTTGAGCACGTAAATTTTAATAAGCAGATACTAGTTTATAGGATGAAATTAGTTCTTCATAAAACTTGTATATTATATAGAGGATACCTTTGTCCTGTAAACTCAAATCTGTAATTGATGTATATATCTGTATCATACTCTATATAAATCAAAAGGTAAAATCTTTATTTGATGGTATTTTACATACAAAAATCTTACAGCGTGTTCATCATGGTTAATTTGAGTACATTGTGGCATTGCATCTCAAACTAGCATTTTTCATATGTTTTTGTTCTTGTATCTTTTCAATACGGTGGAGAACCGAGTACAGTGTTTGGAGCTTAACTACACAGCTATCTCACTTGGTTGTTAGAGAAACAATTATGAAGGAAACGCATCCTGCGCCTGAGTGGTACTATGTGTGGTAGTCCTTAGCAGAGTTGTAGACTAGAGAGCCTATGTCCTAGAATTTGGTATCTTAACAGTCACTCTGAAACCCAGTTTGTGAGACCTAGAGCTAACTGAGTATTCTATAGGATATAAATGTTGAGGGTGGAAGGCAAGTTTCGTGTGTTTGTGGCAGTAGCGTTGCTGAGGAGACGCAGAGCGGTACAGCAGCGCCTGGGGCTTCTGAAGCATTGAAGATACTGTCTTGAGGTGCATTGCCACTGATAGCCAGTAAATGCTGAGAACAGAAGCAACTGAAGCCGGGTCATCCCTCTCAACAGTGAATGGCATTTCCTGTTGTCTTTGCCTTTCAGAATGCCAGAAAGCATTACATAATGTTTATCTTAGCTACAGTGAGGAGTACAAGAGCATTCTTAACTGTAGATGGGATTAACTATTTTATCAATGTACCTTTGAACTAAAGAGAGACTTCACTAAAGATGTAGGCCATTAAATGATTTTATTTTTTTCCCCCTGCCCGTTACCATAAACCTTGGTTAAAAATTCAGCTGTCTGGTCTTCAGTTATCATCTCTAAACACTGGGACGTTTCTAGTGAAAAAGGAAGTTTTGTTACTCCTGTAAAGCTGGCACAGGGTGCTAGTTGTAGGACTGCTTTACCTGTAACTACATTAGCTGATTAAGTAAAACCAGACAGAATATGTTTGGGTTTTTTTTACAAAGGGGTTGTTCTCACTGCTACTTACTGGATCTGTTCCAGGGTGTACACAAACTATTTTTGTTTGTGTACAGATCTAAAAAGATCTGTTGCTATTTCTGTGGGGTAAGACATCAATGTCCTGTGATACTAAATGCTTTAAAGAAGCCCAGGTCAGTGAGAATAGTGTTGCCCTTTAACTGCTGATGCAACAAAATTGTTTCATTCACATGTCCTGGCTTACTATGCTGAGTAGCTCTCTGGGGCAGGATTTGGCAGCTTCAGTGGAAGCTAGTATAATATTCTTGTCCTGTAATGCAGCTTAAATGTAGGATTTTAGGATTTCTTTCTGTTTCATTGTTCTATATATCAATCTTTACTTTTCTGCTTTTTGGCAACTCTGTTCCTGGTTCCTTTTCTTCATATAAAACGGGACATCATAAAACCAAGGTGATCCACCTGCAGAAGAAAAGACTGGTTTGCTTTAATAACTTCCGTGACTAAAGCAGGTAACAGTACAGTGATGAGGATCTGCCAGCTCATTGTCTGTTGGAGGGACTGTAGCTGTACTTCTGTATGGTTTGAAATTAGATGGCTGACCAGAGTTCTTACATGTGACTTGAATTCATAGTTTAAAGCCAGAGGGACTATGAATAATTTTATATTCTCTGTACCTGTCCTTTATCTCACTGGCTATTCCATTCCATTTCTCCTTGGGTGTAATTAAAGCATATTTTCCAAAAACATATCAAATCTTGGTCTGAAGATACTGGAGGGGAATGTAGGACTGTTTGTGGTAGTTAGTGGTTAGTTGATGTTTGTGGTGTTTTGTTTTAAATGAAAGACCTCACCTAATCTTTGGTTCTTGTTATATGTTCCACTGAGATTAAAGAGCTCTGTGGTGCTCTGGTTTTTTTTTCTGGATGAAGGTATTTAGATGCTAGTAAAACCCATGTTTCATTCTTTTCAGTTAGCTAATAATGTAGACCTTTAATTCTTTCACCATAATGGCATTTTCCCTAGCTTTCGAATATTTTTAAATGGTTTTTTTTCTGCATCCTTTTCAGTTTTTCAACATCCTAGACAAAATGTGTATGTAACTGTGCCCTATCTTTGTATATCCAAAACTTGTACATAGCTCCACCACTATAGCCACAGTAGCACCAAATCTTTGTCAGGCTTTGGCTAGCAGAGAAGTATGCTTGATGGCTGTTGCTGCTACAGAGAACAGAGGTAGAGAAGGGAATAGTGCAGTCCCTGTAGGTATTTCCAAAGTCGCTATGTGCTAGAAAGAAAATACTGAATTTTACAATTGTAACTCTAGTGGTTTCCTTAGCATTCTCAAATGTACTTTGCATGAAGGTCAGAACCCTTTCAGCCACAGTGCTAAATCTGATTGACTGTTTTAAATGGGCCTAGGAAGTCAGTGCTGTTAACAGGGCCCAGTCATTACATAACACTAGACATGCAGCTGTTAACATTAGATACAAAACTGCTTTGTTCTATGGCAAAAATAAATATGTTTTTCTCTTCTCTTTCTCTACCTTTAATTTAAAATTTAAAGCACTAAATGTTTTTTCTATTATTGCTTTTCTTGCAGCTGCATGGTTTTCATAAAGGAGAAAGCCCTTTCCAGCAGTCTTTCAGATGGCCTTAAAGGTGGTGTAAATTCCCTTTTGAAAGAACAGCAGCAAAATTAGTGTTGATGGGCTAAAGATGCAGTTGTTTTTATTATCAGAAACCAGCTCTGTGTCCCTAAAGTTGAAGCAAAATGACAGTCATATACGCAAGGACATACAGACAGTAAGGATAGAAACAAGGAAGAAACTGTGTGTTTTGATCCTGACCTCATGTACAGACTCATTGTTGAAGAAACACAGCACTCTGAAACTTGGCACACTTGTGGTTGTCATCGACTAGTGATCTGGTCACAGGATCACAGAACTTTTTGTAAGAGAGACATTCTTGGTTTCATGTCTTTCTGGGTGAAGGAGACCTACAACCATGTTAAAATTGTGAAAGCCAGGGAAGGAGCACAGACAACTTCCCGAGATTATAGTTTTTGATAGCTTTAATCCACTCCATTCTGGAGTGGTAGATAAATGGGAACTGGTCTTTTTAGAGGAAACGGTGGTTTGAAATGCATGCCCAACTCCTGCCTCAGATTTTGTTAGACTGATTCCTCTGGGCTGTATTTCTGCTTGTTCTAAGGTACTGCTCCTTTAAATTAGAGCCATCAAAATGAATGTCATTTCCCATAGCTGGGTCAATGGAGTGATAAATATCTGACTGACAATTTTAGATTCCATGTATGCCAAACTATTTGCAAAACACAGTTTTATAGCATGAACAAGAATTTGAGAGTGGTATGTAAACGTTCCTAAATTGTCACAGATCTTCCTAGAAGTACATCCTACTTCTCCTTTGGAAACGAGGAGCAAAAATATTTATCAACAGTTTCTGCCTTGTCTAGATCAATAAGTTTCATCTTCTCCAACGACATCGTTACTAGGATGTATTTTGTTCCAAATGTATTTAAACACCTTACTAACTGCATATATAAATATGCAGTTTAACCCTTTCAGCCATGGATTTTCTATGGCACCTTAAGCTCTGTGTAGCAGTTTTGTGTTCTTCAGTAACTTCTGATTGGTACTGACTGCTGCCTGTTTTGTTTTTTTCTTACTGTTTTCTTTGGTGCCACTTTTTATTTCTAAATGCCACCTTTATTCCGTTGCTAAGCCTGGAATGGGCCTGTCTTCTTACTGCTTTGGGGATCTCAGCTTTTGACCATCTACTGTACTGTTCATGAAAAGCCTTAAATATCTTTTTCCCCCCACATTCTAAATTATAGTGTGTGCTGCAGAGACTTCTTCTGCAAGGTGCTAAACTCTCTTGGTCCCCATTGACTTCTCTTTCAGGGGATCATTTAACAGGCTAAGATCAGTAAAATCTGGTTTTGTTTAAAGCAGAAGTTTTGTTTGTGTTTTCTAGGCAATGCATCTATGAAGAAAAGTGCATTTTGTGTTATCCTAGATCTATTTCAAACATGTCTAAAACATTTTATTTCCAGGATGATCTTAAAGCAACTTTAACGGCAAAGAACCGAGAAGCCAAGCAATTATCTCAACTGGAAAAGACACGTCAGCGGAATCCATCAGATCGACACATTATTGTATCCTGTATTTCTAATGGCTATAAGAAATATTTTTTAAATTTCTCAGGAATTAAACTATTGTGTTTAGAAAGTGATGAGAAGAATGCTCTTTAGAGGGACTGTTTCCTATGTTGATGCTGAATCTTTTCTTAAACTTTATGATGAATTACAGCTTATAATAGCTGCTTTGTTACTCCCTATTTGATTGAAAAGAAACGACAAAGTATTTGATATGTTTATGCAAGAGAGGTAGGCATTTGGAGGCATCTAGGAATTTGGAGGTTTTTGAAAATAAGTGTAATCAGACAACTCATTTCTTTTTTGTTTTTGTTTTTTTTTTTTTTTTTTTTTGTTTTATTGTTTTTCTCCCTGTCATTTTGGTGGTTGTTGTGCTTCCTTGTACCTAGATGAGGTACAGCTCCATAAGCTGTGAGATGAAGTGTGAAAGGAAAAGTTGTTACTCTGTTAGTAGAATACTCAACCAGACTACTCTTCCTTTCCAAAGACCAGTCACCCTCCCCAGTATACTATTCTGTATCACAGAGGGAAAAATTAAGCTTCCACAGAATTTCCATTAAAATCTCATTGAAGTTTCAAATTCTGAAGGAGTCGGAATCTAGGTCTAGGAAATGCCAAAATAAAGGATCGCGGCAATCCTACTTCAGTCCCTTTATGCCTATGTATTATGATACAGCATTTAAGTTCATTATGATATGCTGTTTATTTTCTCTTACACTCTAGCGTTGGACTCAGGAGTGAAGCAGTCCTATTCTTTGTAGGATTTCATCAACTTTATTTCAGAAATTAGGATCTTTCTAGTGACCGGGGCATGGGACTTCAGAAAGAGTGAGAATGACTGTGATGGTCAAATGTCACCCAGGAGAATTAAATCTTATTTTTGTCTCTGCCAAAGAATTCCCATTTAATATTAATCAAATCAGTTAAATCAAGTGATGACTAATTAGAGTTCCTCATGTAATAAAGACGTGAGGTTAGAACTTGAGCTGTGATGCAGAGTTCTCTTCCATTAGAATTAAGGGAGTAAATGATAACAGTAAGCTATTCTCCCCAAAGGGGGACTGGTCCCATTTTTCTCCCTCTTCGCTAATTCCCAGTTGATTTCATGGGTATATCGCTGGCACCTAGCTTGTCTCTTCTTGTCTCTTTGCTAAGCTACTCCCAAATATCCTTCTGTGGCTTAGCTTCTTGTAACACCTGTGTTTTCTGTACTTAAGACTTTGCCTGAAGAGTTATTAAATCTCAGTACAGTCTGGTTTTGCATATGGCCAAAGGCACCAAACGCTACATATTTGCATTTTAAAGTGATCAACACAAAATGCATAAAAAGTATTGGGAGCAGGAATATGTTCATTTGCTTTTGAGGATGTATGCAGATCAGCTTTTAGGTCTGAGAGAGGCTGCACCTTGTTTGTTAGCATAGCTGTTAGGCTCCAGCAGTGGTTCTCTTATTCTTGAGCAACTGTGATGTTTCAGCAGCTAACAACTTTGGACACAGATAGCAAAGGATCTGTACTCACTCCCAGATTTCAAGTCCATCTTATAAAATGTGGGGGTAGTACAGCTTTGAAAAGAAAACCTTACCAGTTTTTTTTTTTTAATATAAAAATGCATTTTTTTTAAATCAAAATTGATTTTTTTTTTCCTGAAATGGTCTACCTAGGTTGTCTGATTTTTTTATTTTTATGGTTTTTTAATAAATAAATAACCAAACCCTCAGTCCAAGACAAACAGCTGTCCTGAAATATTTTGGCCTGGATACTTGAATTCTAGCAAAGCTATAACAAACTGTAAGTAATGTCTTACAGCAGGAAGCTTCAGACAAGATAATAATAGCACCCTCCAAGTACACAGAAGTTTTGAAATATCTGAGGTAAATACTTCACAATATATTAAAAGTAGAAGTGAAAACAGATACTTTTATGAATATTGATTGTTGTTTTGCCATTTTTCCTTTACTAATATTTCCAGTCACAGGTGAGTGTTTCAGAAGAGAAAATATCAAACTGCTGTTGTGCAAACTATGCAGGTTCTGCAAGTTTAGACATTTCACTCTACAACAAACAAAATTCCTTTCCCAACGCATCTGCGCACAAAACCTGGCCAGTCTATTCAAGATGGATCGAGATGTATTTGATTATCATAGAAATAACATACTGTATTTGTACGTATAATGGCTGCTTATGCATAACTGCTGCCTTCATTTACAGAGAGTGACTGATTGTAATAATTGAGAATATACAAAATGTTTTTTCTTACGCTGTTTCCCTCCTGTGTTTTAGGCAAAATCAAGAAAGGGAGATGAACATGTGACCTTATGTACTACTAAAGATCATTACCAATGTTGTTTGCCCAGTAATGGCAGAATTGTGTCTATGACTTTAAGCTGTTTTTGTAAGGAGATTATTTCAAATTCATAATCCTATAATAGAAGGTTATCAGATTTTAATCAAAGAAAAAGAAGGGACAGAGCATGCCTTATGCCTTAGGGTTCCATATACATATAACACTAAAAGCTAGATTATGGGAACTGGGCCTGTGGTGTCTCCATTTTTTTAAAAAAAAAAAAAAAAAGCTCCTCTACAACAAGTTGCAGTGTTGTAGAAATGGGAAGAATTCTACGTCCTGGTCGTAGGATACAATTACTTGATCCATATACTATTTCCGAAGGCCAGGACAGAATAGATTCCTGATGATACTCACTGACAGAGCCTGTAAGTAAATACTGTCTTAGTCTATGATGTTTGACCAGTAGTGTATGGAAAATAAAATAAATTTAGAGCCAAATTTTGCAGTCTTCAAGTGCAAGCTCTTACATCTTTACATTGTTATTTTGTAATAGTACACAGTTCTCAGACTTTACTTAACCAGAATAGCTTCAATATCTTTATTTAAATGGTAGTGTGTATTTTTATACAGTTCATAGTTATAACTAATTAAAATACATATCTAAAATGCCTTTTGTAGTAACAAAATAAGAAAAACTATATTTATGCATTAGTGATTGGTTGGTGTCTCCCCTTCCCAGTGCCCTATTGAAGATTTTTTTAATAAAATATTTTAATAATATAAAAATACTAAAAATATAAAATACCTGAAATCCTTTTGGATCTTGTCATGGTTTAACCTCAGCCGGCAACTGAGCACCACCCAGCTGCTCGCTCCCTGACCCCACCCCAGTGGGATGGGGCGGAAGAGTACAAGTGAGAAAACACGTGGGTTGAGATAAGAACAGTTTAATAACTGAAATAAAATAAAGTAATAATAGTAGAAGAATATACAAAGCAAGTGATGCGTGATGCAATTGCTCACCACCTGCTGACTGACGCCCAGCCAGACCTGAGCAGTGGTTGCTGCCTCCCGGCCAGCTTTCCCCCAGTTTATATACTGAGCATGACGTCATATGGTATGGAATGTCCCTTTGGCCAGTTGGGGTCAGCTGTCCTGGCTGTGCTCCCTCCCGGCTTCTTGTGCACCTCCTCGCTGGCAGCGTACGGGAAGCTGGAAAGTCCTTGACTCTAGGGTAAGTGCTACTTAGCAACAGCTAAAACATCGGTGTGTTACCACATTATTCTGCTAAATCCAAAACATAGCACTATGCCAGCTACTAGGAAGAAAATTAACTCTATCCCAGCCAAAACCAGGACAGATCTAAAAATGATATTAACTCTAGTCTGCCGATTGAGATACTTAAGGGAGAACTGCATTAGTTCCAGCTGCTGTTCTATTGTCTATTTAAATAATTTATAAAAACTTAGGCAGATGTGGTTCAGCACATGACACTGGAAAAGATTCATTCTAGACCCAGCAGGCTGATCTGCACTTGAAAATAAAGGGTGATCTAATCCACCACTCTGGCCTGTGCACTCCTGCCCTCTCCTTTACACCAGCTTGAAAAAAAAACCCTTAACTTTTCTGAAGGGTAAACCCTTGTGCTGGGTTAATTCCCTGAACCCAGCCACTGTGTCGTTAGCGGAGTGTCAGGGCTGGCTCAGTGGAATTAGCAGCTGATTATTACAGAAAATGGATTAGGGCAGCAGGACTTTCCTGACTGGCTGCAGCTAGTCATTTTTCATGTTTCAGATCAAAGTCACAACGGTGCAGAAGGCATCTTTATTTGTTTATTAAGCTACAAACAAATTTACAAATACAGTAACACAGATGTATTTTGAAAACCCAGACATAAATGTTTTCATGGCAATTAGAGCAAATAGCTTTGTATCAAATACAAGACTAATTTCACCTCTGTGTTACTTTACCAGGCTGAAAGTGAATTGCAGAGAGCTTCACTGGATGCAACTCGAACAACTCGGCAATTAGAGGAAACCATTGATAATTTTGAGAAACAGAAAATAAAGGACATAAAAGTATGTGTGCTCGTTTCAGTATATGACATCACATTTCATCTTGCATAGTAAAATTACTGTAGTTACTGTTTGGTAAGATGAGCAACATTTGTTACTAACTTAAGCCCACATAAATATATATCTTCTGGCATTCATGAATATTTCATAATCCAAATATCATGAACTTTGCAATTAAAAAATCAGTTCATTACTCTTACAGTTTATTGAATTCAGAATTTTCCTGTATCTGATTGTTTAGCATCTGCACCTTTCAACAGTTGCTGTATTCTATTTCACTGGTAGCTGCATTTGTTCGTGGAACGATATATGTGGATTATCAGCAAAATTAACAGAAACAGTGATAAACAAATAATATATTTATCCATGCTGAAATTTGTGTAGGTTACTGCAGTTAAAAGTTTTACTGATGCAGAAAGCACAAAATGTTCAGTGACTGGAAGTATTCAAAGCTTTCATTTCTCTCTTGAAGTCAAACATTAAGTGGCTTAAGTCCCAAAGACCATAGTCACTGAAAAACACTTGTTTTGTGTGATCTCATACTAAATTATAAAATTGCTGGAGTGAGATACTTTTTTATTGGAGGGGGGGGGTTGGAGACAGACTAAATAGGAAAGAATGAAAGATGGTTGAAAAACCCAACCAAACCAACCAGTACTTGATGTTAGAGTAATATGAAAAAGATGTGTGAGTTGGGAAGATGTCATCATTAAGTGCTTTTTTTATAGATAAAGAATATTTTATTATCTAAAATAATTATCTGTAAATTATAGATATGTATAGCATTTACAGGTCATTTGTCCCCAACCTGTTAAAAAAGATTGCCATCGATAAAGCAAAAATCCCCGACTACATCTTGCACATACGTATTGGGGAATATCAAGTGCGTTTTCAGCATGACATTTTATTTATTCCTAATGAGTCTCCTCTTTGCTTCTCAAGCATTTACTTAGAATTTAGTATGAAATGACAACCATGTAAGTGACAGCCCAGCCAGCATTTATGTTTAATTTCTAAAATTCAGGTCTGACTACTTAAAACTACTAGGTATCGTGCAGTTATTTGTCTCATATAAATACCAAGTACAGAATTCAGTAATTTCTTGTATTTGAAGTGGAAATGTACTGCATTAAGAAGACCTTTGTTTTCATTTGCTTTTAGAACATATTTTCTGAATTTATAACTATTGAAATGTTATTCCATGGGAAAGCTTTAGAGATATATACTGCTGCCTACCAAAATATCCAAAATATTGATGAAAACGAAGATTTAGAGGTAAGAGTGATTAAGATTTGCTTTTCAATTTACTTACTACATAAAAACAGTTTTCACACTTTGGGGCTATACATGTCCCAGGCAGAAAATGCAACATAGGTTTCAGGTTCCCAGAACAAACTTCTTATGTATACTGAGCCCTTTTTTGCACTTCTCCAGCAAGAGCATGCAGGTTTATAAACTCGGAGATTTTAAAAACAGAGAACAACTGCAGTGGCAATCTAATCTTTCCCACAAAATACAGATAAGAGACTTCTAAATTAACTGCCACTCCAAACTCAGCTAATCATAGTTCTTAAAGAACACCTCTGCAGTGAATCTCGCTGTGAAGATGCACAGTAAGAGAAAATCTCACGCTGCTCTGATAAGATGTTCTGAAGACTGATTACTTCATTAAAAATCTCTCTCTTCTTTCTATTCTGAGTTTTGTTTGCTTGTTTTCATCTTCCAGTCATTGTTTTTTATTAGGCTGTTCTAGAATTAAGAGACATTTGTTACCAAATCCCTTTTTTTGCCTTGTGGCAGTTACAGCTTCCTTTCAAGTCACCCTTTCTGTTCTCCTTGAGTTATAGTCTCTTTTTTCCCAAGACGTGTTTTTCACTCCTTTATTCATTCTTGCAGTTCTTCTGGATGTTGAGCCTTTAAACTTACTATCATTGAAATGTATGTTGTTTATATGTGTTCAGCTTGTCAAGAAAGTTGGATCATTTTCGGTCTTTTTTTGTAAATCTTACCAGTCCTAATTTTATTTCTTCCATGACATAGCTCAGGACCAAGGATGGCAGTATTCAGTTAGCACAAGACATACAAAATCATGATTCTTCAGTGACAGTCCCATTTGAGACTACGTGGTATTTTTACTTCATTTAAACTACGCCATGGCAATTTTGTACTATTCTAGTTTCACAATTAAAATGTCATGTGGCACCAATTCAAAAATATCCTTTAAGTCAATACTTTATCTTTCACAACCAGATTTCTAATCTCATTTTAAATTTCCTGTTCATTGGACAATATTTACTTTCCATAAAAATATTGACTGACCATAATTCTACCATCTTCCTTGACTTTATTAATAAAGTCTTGCACGAATAGCTTTATTATATTTAATATCAGGCTGTTAGTCTTACAATTTACTATTTTTGGCTATTGGAAAGAACTTGTAAATATAATGGATATTACAGTCTCCCCGTATTCTAAGGGTTTTCCCAAATTTTTCTTGAGCTGCACATCTCCTGAACATTACAGATAAAATTTCTCTGATGCAGCTGTGACTGGCAGCAAGGATTTGCTTGTGAAGGGGCTAAGAGTTCATCTCTCCAAGAAATGGAGAGCCTGAAGGGAGTTGCTGGGGTTCATACCTCTAGGTTAACCTGAAACTCAGCTACATATGTTGGTGGGAAACCATTGCAGTTTTCCACTTGTAAATCCCCTCAGAACTCTGAAGAATGTTTACTTTGTCCACATAAGTGTGTTGATATGTCTCAGGTTGAGCAAGGAGGTTGTTTCAGCTAAAAGTGATCAATCCAAACTACAGTTGATGCATATCTCTAGAGCAGGTTTAATGGTCCAATGCTGCATTTTTGTTAGCTACAGTCTGGGCAATTGTTAGCTTGCAAGCTGTATCATGGCACCCAAATCACAGCTTTCTTCATTTGAACAGGTTTTTCGGAGCTCACTTTATCCACCAGATTATCAATCTCGCTTAGACATAGTTCGTGCAAATTCAAAGTCCCCCCTGCAAAGAACTGGCTCCTTAAAATCTTCACTGAGGACAGTACAGGTAAGAAAGAAAAATTAAATGCTAGATCACTGTATTAAAAGAATGTCTTAAGTAGAGCCTTAGCTAACGTACATGTACATGGATTCACTATCTTTACTCAGTTCAGGACAGTTACAAAAGGTAAAGAGACTTCCAAGGGTATAAAGATCATATTGAGCTTTTAATAACGCAGCTTCTAAATATCATTTTTATTTGAGGAAAAACAAAATCAGCTTTTAAAGCTGCATTGTTTACTTTTGAAGAATGCCATTTCCAGCGATACTATTTCTTTCATCATCAAACTGTGGCATCTTGCAGAGAAAAGATCTAGGAGCTTATTGGTAACAGAAGTGACCTTCTTTAAATAACACTTGCATATTCTTAGTCTCAGTATCCAGATTCTAGAGTGTGGATTCTCTACCAGATCCTCACTCAGACTAGTGATACCTCCTAGCAGCAGAGCAAACCCATGACCAACAGATCTTTTCTTTTATACTCTGAAAATTCAGAGCAGGTGAGGAAGAGGAGGATGATAAAAATAAGTGGAACAGATGGAGAAAGTGCCACTGCTTTTGAACCAGCTACCTTGCAAAAATCTTTGACAGTTGTTTGCAGCAGTAAACCTGCAGACATTGCAAAATGGCTAAATTATTTTTTCTTTATTGCAGCCTTAGTCCTGTAACTACGATGCTTCTTACCAGTGTTTCAGTTAAAGACAAAGATGGCCAAATTTAAAATGTACACATCCCACTTCTCTTCTTTGGATAGAATCATGCATTGATATTGTCATACTAAAAAGTTTTCTTGACTTCATACACACCATTACCCCTTCTCTGCTCTCAACACAGAAAGGATCCATTATTACAGTTGAGTTATTCTGCTGTTGAAAGTATGAGTTGTGCCATCTGAAGATAAAAGAACCCAGTGATTCAGTGCATGAAGACCAACCTTGACTTTGAATGTTGCCTGTCCTCTCTATCCAACAAACAAATTTCACATTCAAACTACTTCAGAAAATGTTTACCCATTCATTTTTTTGAAGACCAGAGGAAGCTGTCAAAAATCTGTTGCCATCTTCCTCGAGAACTTCCTGCGGTGCTGTAAAACTGTATCAAGGGTGTAGAAGCATCTGTAATTACTTTGAGGTGCCACAGATAGCTATGTTTTGCACTCTCTTCAAAAAAAACCCAAGAACCCCCCCAAAAAAACAGAAAACTGAATGTATGCACACTGTGATTTCTCTCAGAGATGGAGTGGAACTCCATTTTGACTAACTTGCGAGTTTACCTTACTCTTCTCCTAGACCTCTCTTTTACCTATAACTTCAGATGTTAACGTCCTCATAACCTCTCACTGGAATATCTGAAAAGAACGGGAAGTCATCTAGACCTAGAGGGAGACTGCAGTACATTTCAAAATAATGTCATCTTACTGGGCTATGCAGTCTATCTGCAGAGGAGGATCACATGGCAGAAAAAAAGGGGTGGAACACCCTGCTAATGCAGTCACTATAGGGCAGTAAAGAGGAAGCAGGCATCCTGTTCCGCGCACCCCACCACGCTGCCCTGTCTGATTCTGCAAATAGTATGTTGCATCAGGATCGGTACCTTGAGTTACGCTAAGGGCTCTAATCTCTGGAACTCACCAAACATCTCACTAGCAAAAAATGCTGCATTCAGAAAAACCTTCGGGTGACTTGTTTTACTTTTCTGTGGATCTTTCACTGCCAATGTTTTCACAAGTCTGGTTTCATGCTACATAGTAACTTACTGACCATAATGCAGTACTTTGGAATTTTCAGTTTAAAGCAGTATAAATAATATGGTAAGCAGTTCAGAGAATCACACAGACTAAGACTACGGGGGGGACGGAACACGACACACACAGAACACACGGACGATGGGACACAAACTCTAACCTGTAGGTGGGGGGTGGGGCGGGAAGTCACTGCATACCAGATGGGATAAACTGTGCCGGTAACACAATACTTGTCTTTCAGAGGATTTAGCACATACCATCCTTGAATTTATTTCTGGTTCTGCGGACTGCCTTTCTGTAGTATTTCCATATTAAAAATCTGAAGTACTCCTTGAGCTTGATTCATTTTTTACAAAGAGCTACCTCCTTCTAAAATTCTCGTGCCTTCGTGTGATGTCATGTTGCTTTGTCAAGCAACATGATAATCTAAGTGTGGTCACACACTCCTGGAGTGAATATTCTGGAAGGAGTGCTGTATGCTAAATTATCAAAAGTAGGATTTTGCAAAGACCACTGATATTTTTGTGTCCATCTTAGTG